GGGGGCAGGGGCTGGCCGGTCCTACCTGTGTGCGTCCTGCGGTGCGCTTTGAGGTGGGAGCTTTTGGTGTACACCTTGTGGCAGCCGGAGAAGTCGCAGCGGTGGATCCGCCGCTTCTTCAGGGAGTCGGGAGACTCGGGGGGGAGAGGATGCCTGGAGTCTGCGCGGACTATTACCGAGGGGTTGTTACACCTGGGAGGGGGAGAAAGAAAAAGACAAACACGGGTCAGATCGTCTGTCGCCACCCCAACTGGCCAGCAGAGGGCGCCAGATCTCGCTTTCGCTCCTTAGAAATGTAAAAGAGGATAGACTTCTCTCTTGTGCGACAACTTCTGCCATTCAGGAAGTTAAGCCCCCCCCCCCCCCTTTCCAGTCTGCCACGCCTTGGTTTTGCTTTGTCCCGTCACCTCTGCAGTTTCCTAACATCCGCATGTCCAGCTCATTCAGTAAGATGTGATCAGAGCCTCGGGGCGTTTCACAGATCTTTTAGGTGGGACGAGAAAAAAAAAGTAGGAGGAGATGTTTTCCTTTTATCACATCCTGTATGAGTCTGTGTGTCTGTTTATGCCAAAGTGGCAGTTGAGAGCAGGTGTCAAGTGTTGAAATATGAATCAATTGCACATCAAGGGATGTACAGGAACTCTCCAACACACACACACACACACACACACATACAGACTTAGATAAACCCAGATAAATAACCACACATGTGTGCTTGTGTTGAGACGGGCTGACAGATAAAGTCACACCCTCTTGTTTTTTTAAGGGTCTCTTTTATTCCATTGCTGGCATGGTGACAAGAGAGGCCCGCGAAGGCAAAAAAAAAAAGACAGACAGACAGACAGAGAAGAAAAAATGATGGGGTTTGACTACTACGCGCACAAAAACTAACAACAAGAGCATGACTTTCAGGTGTGTCACCAACTGGCAATTATAACTTAGAGGAAAAGGACGAGGTGCGAAACAGAGACGAAGCGGGAGGAAGGATGAAGGATGAAGGAGGGAGCAGAAGAGGCGAGGAAGGGAGGAGAGAGCCAGAGGCAGGGGGAAGCATCGAGATGGATAACTGGAGCCAGAACAAACTTCCCGGACGTCTGTTGGGAATGTAGGGCAAAAAGCCCCTACCGGGAGGCGGGGCAGGTGGGTGGGGAGAGAACCCAGAACAAACGACAGGCTGTGTGTACGCCGTGTACAGTAGAAGCCGCCTCCCCTGCTGTATCCTCTCTATCCTAACAGAGGACCTCACACTCGTGTCTCCCTCACAAAAGCAAGCCACTAAGAACTCTTTGATCGCATTCTTATGGGAAGTAGATTTACTCTTCTACAGTATTTAAAGATGATGAGACAAACTGTTCGACAAAACACATGTTTTTTTCCCTTAGGCTCATTCCCAGCAAGCTAAATTTCGTTACATTTGATTTTTTGAAAAAAAAATATTTTGTGACCCATATCCCCTCCCCATTCCACTAGTGTATAAGAAACAAAACTGTTGCACCTGTCCCTGCTTCAAGAAACTTAACACAAGACAAGAGTTTGACGCTTCTGTTAAAGGTTATGGGAGAAACCCTGCTTAGCACTTGTGAAACATTTGGTTCCCTTCTCAAAACTTGACTTTTTGTGTGTGTGTGTGTTTCGGTGAGTAAACTCACTCGTACTCCTTTGGCATCATGATGATTGATGGTTTCGCTTCGTGGTGGCCGTTGGGGTCAAGGAGGAGTTCAGAGTGACTTTCAGTTTTGATGGGCTGGTGCGTCTCGTGGGCCTCTCCTCGCAGTTCCAGGGGCTTTTTTAAGTGAGCTGGGAAAATGCAACACGATGGAGGATTTATTCAACGGGCACTCTTTGACATTTCCTCATGTTTTAAAAATAAAACAACACCCTCTGTGATTTCCCTTGGGGCCACCATTTTTGGAACCAATCCACAAGTTGTAATAGTTAATAAATGCCTTTTTTGTTGTTTCTAAAGATGGCTTTAGAGGCTCTTTGCCATGTTGACTAAGCTTCAGCAGTATTCAAAAGATGAACCCATGCTGGTTTCTAAAGTTCAGTGTTGCTCTGTTTGTGGGCATTCATAGTTTTTAATGCTGAAAAAGTTACTTATACATTTTTTTTCTCACATCGATGAATCTCCACATGTCCCCTTCTGTATGAAATACTATTTTTTGGTCTGTTTGTAAGGCTCTCCTTTCATTGAATGATGGAATTGATTCGCGTTAACTCTGACTGATCATACGAGTGTTCAAAAGATGAAACAGCTCATTTGTTCAGCTAATTGGTGCTGAACACAAAGCATTATGAAAATATAGAAAAGCAATCGACTCCCTACTGACTGACATAACGCCACATCATTAATTCCTCTTTGAGTCTAAAAAAAAAAAAAAAAATTAAAAAACACCTCACCTGGCTTAGACTCTCTGCTTCGGTGGTGGTCGTCCTCAGCTCCGACAGGGGGGCTCACTATGATGGGCTGGTGCAGGTGGAGAGGCGAGGGGTAGAGCACGGGCACCATGACCGGGGACATCATGACTCCCGAGCCCGAGGGGATGAGGGGAGCCATCATGGTGTGGTAAGGCAGGGAGCTGGGGTGGACGGGCGAGGAGTGCAGCTGAGGGTGCGAGGGCGGGGAGCGGGGGGAGGCGCGGCTCGCCAAACTGTAGGGGGAAGACGGGGAGCAGGGAGGGGACGTCGGGGAGGAGCAGGGAGGGGAGGAGGAAATGGAGCAGGAGGAGGACGAGGAGCGCTTGCTGAGAGACAGGTCCACCGGCTCCAGCTGGGTCTGCTCGGCGTTGCCGGGGGAGTGAGACTGGGGGATGGCCTGCATGTGCAATCCGTAGAAGTTGGCCGGATGGGGGAAGATCACGCCGTACGGCTCTTGGGATCTCACCAAAGAAGAGGGAAAAGGCTGTCAAAGAAAGGGAGGGAAGACACAAGAGGAAGGGGAGAGAGATGGGGGGGAAGAAAACAAGAGAGCTTAAACCTTTTTTTTGTCATTTCCGCCTTACGTAACACCAAAAATAAACACGTTTCTGCCACACAAAGAGTTACAGCCAGCCAAAAAAAGGCGAACGATCCCACAAACGCTTTGTGTGGGAGCAGGTAACCGCTATGTTTCAAAGCCCGGTGTTGGTTAGCCCCGCCGCCTGGCAGTGTATGTGCCCATTGTATGCAAATCCCCACTGTACAGCGACCTGTTTGTCCAGGAAGAGCCGGTATGTGGGAACCAGTTCGTCCATGCACGTAACAGTAGTGTGTGGTGTGGGGGGGGGGCATCAAAAACATGTTCAGGCATAATGTGTGCACAGGAAAACATGCCTTACCGTCTCCATATCTGTTTTCAGTGGGTAATCATACATCAGCATGGCTGCACAGGCCAGGCTCCTGCAGGCAAAGAAGAAAGAGACGGGCATCAGCACAAGATTCAGCTCACACTGGTAAGTCTTTTGTCACAGAATTTGGCATGAACTTATGGATGGAAAGGAAAGAAACACAACAGCACAGCAGTAGACTGTGTCTGGGCTTTGTCGCGGCCTCCACCCTTGTATGCGTATTTAACATAAACCCCGACCTGTGTGCAGGTGTGGAAATGTCTGTATGTCCAGTATTTCTCAAAATACAGATATTTTCCCTGTTTCTGACTCGGAAGCACACATGTGTGAGGCCACGTATCCCTGTTTTCAACAAACCCCCCCCACAAAAAATGTTATCGCAGCATTATTGAAGTAGTATATCACCGAAATGTACATGAAGCCACGGAGGAGAAGTGAGCACCTTTGTAGATGATAAACTTCTGTTAAGTGTTTCTCTAGTTTGGGGTTGTGCCCCTGAAACGGGTCGGAGGATAAATCTGCTGGGGGTCATGGGATGATTAATGAGGCCGGCACTTTGGAGGAGTTTTCTCAGAATTTCACTCTGATCTTTGTCTTTTTTTTTTCTTTCGTCCCCACCATTTTTTAAAATCGCATTCTGAATAACAATAAAAAATGATTTGTTGTCATTGTAGACTAAGACGGCTGACCCTAACGGGTACATACGTAAGACATATAATTCAAAAACATGTGGAAACACCTGGGCTCAGACAGTCTGCTGTGGTGGCTGCCATTGTCAAAAAGCTATTTTGCTAACATAACGTCGGCTTAAGATGATGAGAGGTCGCCACGGGATGTCATGAACTTCCAGTTCCAGTTGTGATGTGCCCAGAAAGTTCACGGTTTCATCAACGAGACAGTGAAACCTAACATCTCAAGCATGCTGAAACATAGACTTACCACCTACTGAGGCCTGTTAAGCATTTGGAATAAAAGGTGTGAGGTTTCAAAGGTGGTTCTTGTTACCCTGGCTTTGAATGGCCAGGTGCAGCTGGGCTGACTGTTTGCGCCTAACCGAGAGCATTCGGGTGTCATTGCTTGTGTGTGTTTGTTCATTGGAGCATTAAAGCAACATGAACTGTCAAAGAATTCACCCCGAGGGAGTGAGTGCAGGTCCATGTTTGTGTGACCTGATTAAAGTCCACAGTCTGGAGACAGGTTGGCCTTTAATTATTAACAAATGCGCATGAGCACAAACCATCCCGCCCTCGCGCTCATATATACGGGAAAGGCCGGCGCGCACAGGGTTCAGGAGGAGAGCGGGCCAATCGGAGAGCAGGATGCCGGCTGGCTGGGTCAGGAAGGGTGTGAACGTGACGCCCTGGAGCCTCGCCCTTTGCCTGGCTCCAAAGGAACAAAGAGCCCGAGGCGTGCGTATGCGCGTTCGAGATGGTGTGTTTTCCAATCCTAAGGTTTGAATTGCATCGCAGTTCAATTGGAGGTCAAGCGATTGTCCTATTGTGGCTGTGAATCATGCGCGAAAGCTGACAAACAGAGCGAGTATGGAGCACAAACAGCTCGCCAGACAGGAAAAGGACAAAGGAAGCGGTTTACAGGTGCTTTCCCAACAAAAAAAAAAAGAAATTCAAAATGTCCTAAATGTGGTTTCGACATGGAAGAACCATTGTTTTTTTTGGTGTTTTTTTTGCAGGAGCTCCAAAAACGTGTGTGTGTGCTCCCCCCTTATTTCACACACTCACATTTACAAATAATATCAGGTAGGTAACATAAAAAGAAAAGTAACACTATCAAACTGTGTTAACATATTGATTGCAGTGAACGTTGAAGTGTTTTATCAACGGCAGGAACTGCTGTAACGGTTAAGACTATTCACATTTGTGGAAGTAATGGTTGTTTACATGAAAACGCTCTGCTTACAAATGGGACACCGTGGTTTGAACTCCACAACAGATGTCTCTGCATCCTGCTTCTAAAAATCAACAGGGCTATGTAACACTGTTTTTGCTTCCAGAAGGTTAAGATTTTTTTTTTTAATAAAAGGAAATTGTAGGAGAACAACTAGAAGTTGACTGACTGATCGTTTTTGGCCCATTATCAGCCAGGTTTGTGCTCACAAATGCCATCCCAAACTAAAGCTCCATCTACTGGAAAGAAAATAACAGCTTTTGCAAGCGTGTGTGTGTGTGTATGCAAAACTTTCTAACCACTCTTTTATTGAGGCAATTAACTAAGGTGGGGAACATTAATAAAAAATCTACATTTATTACGACATATCCAGGTGTGACTGACAGCCTGCCCTCCCGAAACTGGGTAATTTGCAAAGTGGCGATTATCTCTCAACTTCAGAACGAAAGCAGCCGCAGGCATTTGGACACTCAACACGTGTGTACCTCCATGAACACGTACATTCCGTTCACCTGTTGAGAAAAGGCAACTGGAAGGCCACTCATCATTTTTTTTTCTACTTTCGCAAAATCTGGAACAACACCCCCCCCCCCCGGTCCTCGGCTCAGGTGTCATTCCTCAAAAGAGCATACCGTAGCTGCGGGGTAAATTCTGTTCCCGCGAAAGTTCACCTGTCCGACACTCACGAGACCCCCGGGTAGTTTACGACGCTGTTCGCTAACTGCTCGGCAGTGATTTACGGCAAACGAGCAGGAATTTGGAAACGCGGCGAGATTTGCATCCCGGAGAGGCAGCGGACGAAGATAATGTTATTAATAACCCGCGCCGCACACGTGGGCGTGATAAGAGAGAAAAGATTAGCATGCAAGTCAGTCCAAACAATCATGGGGAAGATAAATTCACAGAATTTTCCACCGGTGCACGCGTGTGGGGCGTGCGTGTTTGTGAGGGGGAACGATTAATAGTCGTGCCATAGATGAGTTAGATGAGTTGAGATTCTGCTCTGACAGACGGGAAGGAAACTCCTCCTTAAAAACCCCCAAAAAACAACCCAAGCAGCTGTTCCAGCTCGTCCTCCTCCTCTTTGAGGCCTGTCCAGGTACATATATGGTATGGTCAAAAAAGAAGAAGACCTCCTCTGGCTCCTGGAGGGTTTCTCTGCTCGAGTGCCCGTGGGTGTGTGTTTGTGCACGTCTGCAAATATTGTCCTTCTGGGTCTGTGGAGCTACTGTGTACTCAACCCCAACCCACTCAGCAAACACTTCTGCATCCCTCTGTCTCCTTCCCCCTGAAAGCGCCGGACTCCGGCTCCTCTCCCACAGCCCGCTATCGACGGCGTTTCTCCGAGGCCACGCCGTCGCCCCCCCAGCGCCCCTTCTTCTTCTTCTTCTCTCGCTCCCCGCGAATGATATAAAACAACATGACCGAAGGGGAAAATATTGTGGCTTGGAGCTCCCTGGCTACCGACTCGCCGGGTTTCTGCTAGCTCGACAGAATCGCGCACACTAAATCACCAACAGGCTAAATTATTGCCGGCACACATGCGCGCACACATGCTCTTAATGGCAACAGGCTGGAGATGATGAGATCACCAGAGACCAGAAACCTCCAGACAACGGCTTTGTCCAAGAACATGCCGAAACACACACACACACACACACACACACACACACACTTAAAGCCTACGGTTTCCTGCTCCTGACTTTGACTTTTCTTTACCCTACAGCCTTTCGTTCTTGTCACTCTCGCCTCACGTCAGTTTCGGGCTGCTTTATGTCGGTTGACTGTTTCTGTGACTCCAGCTCCAGCAGCGATGCTTGGAGCCATATTGCTTCATCGCCTTCAGCCTGGAGCCTCGTGCACGCACAGATGTTTGACGAATGCTTCGCAATGAGTCTTAAATCCCCTAATGATGGGACTCATCCAGGTGGCAATCTCATCCTCAACCCGGGACTTTTTTTTTTGGGGGGGCGGGGGGTGTTGTTTCGTTTTTTTGCCCATTACACACAGATGTTTGCTCATTCTTTGAGCCTCTAAACCCGACCAGCCTCCCCGTTTCTGCCCCTTACCTCACCCCTAGCTCCTGGCTCCCCTAATAGCACGTGCCCCGCTGACTCTTCTCCCTTCAAGGCCCCAGCTTAAGCCCCCTATCCTCTTCTTTAGGCCTCCCGTTTCTTCTTTTAAGCTGCCGAGGGCACTCCTCCGCCCCTACCCCCCCCCCACTAAACGCGCACTCATATGACTCTTAATGCACAAAGCGCACCGACGCAGACACACTGCCCCTCTCGGCTCCTCTCCAGAAGACTGGGAGGCTGCGGGAGTGCAGGCCCTTAAGGGAAGCCGGAGGGGGGCCATCAGCAGGGGGAGAGGAAACAGGATCCACCATCACACGCCAGCACGCAAGCATGGAAGAGGTGGACGGAGGCTTCTAGAACACCGGATTTGCGGAACGCACGACGCGGGCAAACGCGCACACACACACACACCGAGCCGAACTTGTCAAAGGGAGCAGAGTTTTGAGGCTTTCCAGAGGGAAGGAGGGAGCTCTGCCAGAGAGGAGAAAGAGGGAGAGAAGCGGAAGCCCCGAGAGTTCAGGCCCACTGTTATTATTTCCACACTGCGTGATGGGTCAGGGGGAGTGACGGAGAGGAGGAGAAGGAGGAAGAGGAGAGAGAAGCCAAATGAGGAGGGAGTGAGGGGAGGGGGGGGGGGGGCTGCTGCTGGGGGCCTGCGGTTTCCTGTCTGACCCCCCCCCCCCTCTCCCCCCTCCCTCCCTCCCAATCACCACACACTCACCCCTTCTAAAGAATGAGAGAGGGTGGGCAAAAAAAAAATCATAAAAACCAGCCTCGGTGACCAAACTATGTCAAAATGGAAGTGGAAACAACAAGGCTGACACAGAAACGGGGAAGAAAATGAAGTGGGTTTTCAACCAAAATATGAGGCTCACACTCAAACACGCACACACACACACTGACCCGGGGGCGGGGAGGGGGGCAGTGAGATAGTGGCTGTGGCTCAATCTAGCGGTCTGAAGGCTGCACGCACACACACCAGTGTGCGTGTGTGCGTGTCTGTGTGTGCTGGCACACAAAAAGTTGTGCAACTGCTCCCCTTTTTTCTTTTTTTTTAGGTTTATGGCCGAGCAGAGTGTCCTCTTTGCTTAACTTCTGAGGGAGAATCGCCAACCGCTCAGCATCCGACAGTTTAATGTTTAGCCCTAATGTTCTGCTGGACATGCCCTTTGAGCAGTGTGTGTGTGTCTGTGTATACACAAAGTTGTGAGTATTTTGTTCCACTAGATAACATCAGCATGTTGATTGAGGAAAGGAGGCGTAGGGGTGGGTGGAGTATGTGGGGCGTGGGGTGTGTGTGTGTGAGGGGGGGGGGGATAGCATTAGCATTTCTCTCATTTTTGACAAACAAGTAAGAAATCCATTTGTGATGATTTCTTTTTTTTTCAAGGCAGGGACTCTAGTTTTTTTTACCGAGACAAAAGGGTGGATTTTAAAGAAGGAAGTAGAGAAGGAAGATGTTTCCCTCATTCCACCCATCTACCCCCCACATCCCTCTCTCCTCCCTTCTTTCTCCTCCGCCCCTCTTTCTCCGGGCTCTAAACAGGATAAGGGCTTCATATGCCAAGTGGAATGTGTGACGCAAGCCTCAGCCTTGAAACAAAGCACAGGAAACAGGGAGAGACAGAGACGGGAGAAACACACACACACACACACACTGGGGAGAAGGCCTGCATTGTAAAAGATGCGGCGATACCAGAGGACAGAGAGAAAAAGCTCAGGTGTGACAGGGTGCTCGCGGGCTCACACAAGCAGACGCACAAGCAGACGCACAACCTGCCGGCACATCGTTAGCTCCTGGTCCCCATCGTCTGGGAATACCTCCCACTCCCAAAGCAACGCTCAACCAAAAGTGACCTGTTCACCATCCCTACCAACTGTTGAAAAACTCAATTTAGCCACATAACATTTAACATGGGGAGACAGACAAAAATAAACCCAAAGACGTCCACTCAGTATTCCAGGAATTCCGATTTTCTCTCTTTCTTTTCAGTAAAAGTCCAAATAAAGTGGTGCAGGGAAAGATGGTCATAATGATTCAACCCTAATTCAATACACACTTAGGTCAGGGTAAGCAACAGACCATATTAGGAAGACTCCAGATGTTGAAAAGCTATTTTGAAAGGAATAGAATAAAATCAAGACACATCTGTCATATGTGATGATTAATGACAGCTTTTAAAAAAAAGTGTCTTGCAGTGGACTAATGGTCCCGTTACATAAGTTACCAGGTAGCCTTCAGACTATTAGTTCTCATATTAATGGCTATTTTAAAAAAAAAATACACACAAAACGCGCCTATTTAAGTCTAATTTCAAACCCAACTGGATGCGTAATAGTGGAAAAGCCAACAGATCGATGACAGCGCCGCCGTCAGATCGACCTGTGGGTCACCGAGGAAGATCAGATCACACACTTCCCACACCGATCCCACACAGACGGATCCCTCACTGAGGCTTTCAGATCGGGATCACTCGGAGTTGACGAGAACGCGCGCGTCTCTAAACGGAACATTTAGGGGCTCCGACAGTAAGACATCATCACACTCACTCCTCAGAAGAGGCGCGCTGGGGTCGGATCCTGCGGGATGGACGGGCGGCGGGTTTCTCTCCCCCCCTAAGACCGTTCCGGGCAGCTCCGCGGGCTCCGGGAGGCAGAGAGACAGACAGAAAAACAGCCGGTCCCCGGCGGTCTGTGCGTCCGAAAAACAGCTTCCTCAAGTTACCAAAACTCCCGTCCTGCGCGCGTCGTGCGTCCCGGCCGTGTGAGTGCGCGCCTGTGTGCGGGCGCCTCATGGGGTCAGGCCGCTGGGCGGGGCCGGGGCGGGGTGGGTCCGGCCCGGGTGTGTGTGTGTGTGTGTGTGTGTGTGTGTGTGTGTGTGTGTGTGTGTGTGTGCGTGTGCGTGTGTATGTGTGTGTCGTTGCAGCTTTCATTTCTAGCTCTCAGCCAGCAGGAACTGTAACTTTACCAAGGCAGCTGCTCTCATGAAAGTGCCAAAGCCGACGTGTAGCTTTTCTTATTTATTTATCTAATTGTTATAGTGTTGGGATTGGGCTTGTTATTCTATCATTAATAGAATGAATGCGGGTATCTGCATTCTGCGGTGTTGCCTGTCAACCTGGACATCTAAATGATTAACAGGTGGGATTTAGAATGCGGCCTTTATTCCAAAGATGTTCATCAGATGATGGAGGTCTGTAGAAACACAGGAAGGGATCAGATTCCTTCCTCACTTTGTCCAATGCACAGATGCCCTTTCTATTAATCCCAATAAAACTCTGTGTCTAAATTAAGTGAGGAATAAATTGTCTAAAGAAAAAACGACATGTTTAGTTGATTAAAATAGCTGATTAAGAGCATTTAAAAAAAGTTTAACATACACTACATAAACAACATAAACACTGAAGTCTGAACAATGTGCAACAAGAGAGACGTACAGACGCCAGTCGAGCAAAGAATAAAAACTGTGAAACATGTTTCTGAGGAGGGGGAAAAGTGTGTTTCTCATTTGTTTATTAGGTAGGTTCACATATAGAAATAAAGCTACAGGTCATGTCAGTCCTTGTAAGCAACGTAACTTCTGATGTCTATAGAAGCAGGTGCCCTTAAAATGAGTTAAGATTAAGTTGACTTCTTTACAGCCTGTGCTGACTCCCTTTCATTAAAGGGAACATCAAATGACTCAAGAGTTTGTGATGAAAAGAATTGCTTGACAGTCTTATCTGTGCCTAGAAGACAAGGGTCTGGAATTTTTTAGAATAAAGCAAACAATAGGTAGGTTAATAAAACTCATGTGAAAAGTTATAGATGCCATTCACCGACCTCTTAGGCAGTTAATGCATTCAGCCTGGCATAAAAAACATTTCTAACACAATCTATGAGTTAAAAGAAACAAGATCGGATCTGTTTAGAGATGCAAGATCTGGACGTCATTAGTTGTGTTCATGGCTCTTGCTACAGGTTAGATTTCCAGTGATAGTCACTCCTGTATGCACCTCCAGGTGTGTTCTTCAAGAAGCACCCCAATGTCCTCTTACCGCCAGTGGGGCTCTAAAAAGAGATAATGGCCCTTTTAATGCACGAGGACAACACCAACAGTGGCTACATTTTTGTAGGTAGGACGCCATAGGTCACATAGTGCATGTTAATCTGACAGGTGTGTTAAAGGAGAATTCCTTTAAGCTGTTCCTGTTAAATGGAAGCAAGTTTCCTTGTTTCTGACTCTGGCAAAGTGCCACTGCACTACCCACGAACACACACCTCCCCCCCGGATGAGAACTGGTATCCAAACTATGACGGTTTTATTCAGTAGTCCTAGGAGTAGAGTTCACGTTTGTTTTTTGCTCTCTTTAAAAGTGTCACGTGTCGTTAGACTGGACAGACGCTACAATTACAGGCTCCAGTGGATGCGTTGAAGAAATTACACTTAACTTGGCGGATTTTTTTGTGTTGTGTCGTTTTTTTGTTTAAAAAATCTATAAAAAATAGACAGAATAAGGTGGGTAAAATAATCAGCATGAATTCCTACTCAACTTTGTCTGATGCAGAACCTGGTTTACAGCCATTACACACACACGCAGACACACACACACACACACACACACAGAGGGACGTTTCTTTTATTTTTTATCTGGACCCAGTACTTCATGCTCACTCAGACTGAGCTGAGGCGAATCAGGGCGGGCTGTCCTCTGCAGAGGAGGGCGTTAAAATGAGTTTTCACACAGACAGCTTTTTCGGTTGAAAAATCTGGAAATCTTTCAGGGCTGAACACACATCCACTTCAGCTTACGTGGCCCAGTTCAGTTTACGGGATAAATGAGATAACAGCAGGTATGGTAATCTGCAATAGCAACCCTACCTGTCTTTCTGCCAGTTTTAGGTCCAAAACAATTATAGCTATTATCTATCCTTTTATATTTTTCATCTACTGGAAATGCTCTAAACTGGGTCCAAAAATATTAATTTATTATCTGTCTCTTCTGATTTATCTCATGCAAATGCTCTGAGGCTGGGAATCATTAAAATGTACCTGTTTTTTCTGCAGGATTCCAGCATGCAACGCTGTTTTCATATCAAGATTTTGGCATTTATATATTCTTTTTTAATTACACATCAAATTCATGTCAACGCATAGACAGGCATGTCTATGAGTATGCATGATTGTGGAGTCTATGCACAATAAACGTCAGTTTAATGCTCTCCCCCCCAATGCCTTTGGCAAAAATTTTGCAACTGAGGGAAATGATAAAAGAGAAGTAAAGACCTGATTTAATGGCTTAATTCATATCATAATAATTTCAAAGCCCATGATGTAGGAGGTGGATGTAGGACATGGAACGTAATTTTTTCTCTTCTGTCGAAGCTGCCATTAGTAAAGTGACTCTAAATTTCTAATCTGATCTTAATTTTATTATGTAATTTGAAAAAAAAAACAGCTTTTAAATGCTGTTATCAACTAAATTAAAAAATTTGATATATATATTGTAGTGAAGCCTGTTTGATATATCTTGTTTGACAGGAAACAAATTCGTAACATGGAAAATAAAATAAAAATGAGCTAATACGTTGCATTACAGTGCCAGAAGTAGCTACAATCCAAGGCCAAAGGCTAAAAACTAGTTTTCATAAAACATAAGAAATACAGAACAGTCATGCGGCTGCATGCGTTTTCTGGGTTGTATTTGTCTCATACTACGCTTCTCTGCATTCCTGCATGGTGACGAATGAGTGATGTCATTTTTGGATGCCCTGTTAAATCTTTTTTTCTTCTTTCTCCTTTTCTCTATTCCTCTACATCAATTTAACTAACCTGTAAGTATACACCTGCATCTACACTGAATGGACTACATAAAACCCAACATGTTTTTTGCTCCTATTTAGTTCCTTTTATTAATGGATATATAATAATTTCACATGGATGGCTGTTTTACATTTATTTAATTTGAAAAATTACATTTTATCATTTACATCTGCTGACATGACCCTACCCCTAACTAAATTTGAACAAGACATACTGATAAAATAAATGAGTCTTAAAGCTGTCAAGATATGTCAACATGAAATAAATAGTGGGAGCAGCGAGGGTCCGAAGCACCTGCTCTGACGACAACCCCGCCATATCTGAGAGATAACAGATAATGGAGAGATGTTGCGGACAACGAAACCCACAAGGGATTAAGCTTTACAAAGACTGGCTACAGCTCAGATCAAACATTTGGTGATACCTCACAAAACCTCTAAATCTATCTGTTGCGCAAAGCCGTTTATCTCTCTTGAGCTTGAGCAAAGAAATGAGCATGACAGGTAGGCCATGCCGTACCTGAGAGCTTCGTTTGTTCAAGCGAAAAATAATGTTTGCCTTTCCGGAAGAAGCTCACCGCTTCAAGAAGGCTTCCCGAGAAAAACTCAGCCAAGGGTGAGTGTAAAAAAAAGAAGAAAAGAGAATAAGCAGTCACAGATTAGAGATGAGATTAGAATTTGCCGCAAACTGTTAACTGTGTCCAGGCTTTCTCTACAGCACTGACCGGAAATCTATTTGTGATATCACTCTTTGGGAGAAAGGCTAATGACAGAGGGGGATATTTGCTCCTGAGCGTGATGATAAAGAAGATTTCCACAGAGCTTAGCTGCTCATCAGGTGCTTTTTCTTTTTGGTTTAGTAAAGGACTTTGAATTGTAGCACTCAACAGTCCTGGATAAATGTGTCATCTTTTCTCTGTAATGTTTAAATTCAGTCAAGTGTGCGACCGTCATGTTGTTTCCTAATAGAAAAGTTGACAGCTCTTCTTTCTGTGGAAAAATCAATCATGCTCCCTGTTACATGACGCGTGCTTTCGGTTAAAAAAAAAAAGTTCTCTTTTTTTACTTGCTGACTTTACTCTCACTTTGACTTTGAATCGTAATGCTTTGAAAGTGCTGATTAAGGTTATATATTAAAAGTACTTAGTAAAAAGAGTTTCTCTCAGAAGAACATGGCACTTCATGGAACAAAAATGTAAAATAACAAATATTTGGGAAGCTTTGCTAATATATATGTAGCCCACCCTGTACATTTTAAAATAGCCCTTCTGAAGTATTTCGTAGCACTGAAATCATGACCGAACTGACTCCTCACTCCTGGAAATGCCACCATCTTTGCAGAAAAGGAAGAAGTTTGTGAAATTCTGCACTTCCCATTTGTTTGCAAGCGCCTTACAAAATCCAAAAAGACATAACAAACCACTGTGTGAAATATTCAAACTGCCAGCGGGCAGTATGTCCGCGGCATATAAAGTGTGACTGGATAACATACCGGCTGTTGTCTTGTTGCAGAGATCCTTCCTGACCTTAAGGCGGGATTCAGACAGATGTGAGGATTTCATTCAATCCGATGCGTGCTAATTTCATCAATCGACTGGACACATGATTTGATTGGCCGTTGGCAAGGCCGGCACTTGAATGGTTGATCTATTCTCAATTTTGCAGCTGAAGCTATGCAAAGTGAAGTTATAGGCGCCCAGATTCCCCTCTTTTACCTTTAGCAAGTTGCTACATGTACCACTTGTAAAAGTAGCAACCTCTCGATTCACGGCCTCCATCAAAGACATAACCATGTGGGGAAAAAAAAGCAAAAGGCAGGTTGGCAGTGTGAAACACACAAAGCCTCAGTGTCAGTTCAGGAGGGAAAGCGCAACACAACCTACAACATCAATGAGGTTTTTCTTTTAAAACACTCCACGGTTATGTGTTCAAGAAGCACAAGCATCCCAACACGCGTTGAGTCGCTCGGTGCGGCCCACAACACTTCAACTTA